GCGAGAAACCCTAACCTATTTCTTGAAAACTCTAGCTGTCACGTCTACTGTGTCGTCACTCAAACTCATCTCAACACGAAACTCTAGAGGAAGGACCACCATGAAGAGACGAACACGATGCCGCTGGAACCACAAGAAACTAGTTATCCACGCGCCTACACGCGCCAGATTTGTACCGGCGAGTGAGGCCCACGCGCAGCCATGCGTCTGGTGTCCTTTCTAGTCGTTTCATCCATCGTGTATCTCGTGCTTTTATCCCCTTTCACGCCATGTGGTTAGTTTCTCAATCGGCTACCGAAAAGTCACGAACACGTCCAAACATTGACAAACATCCTTCTTTTTTCATTTTCTTGATATTCTTTTGTTACAATTTTTTGTGTAAAATATACAAAAATTAGAATAAAAAATCAAGGAGGAAATCTAATCATAAGGGATTAGCCTCCTTGTTACAACCTAAGAAAATACAATCAAATCTCTACAACAGATTAAAGCCATTAACCAAATGAAAGCATCAATTTTTATGTAAAGAATTATAAAGGATACACATACAATTCATATGACTAACAAATATAGAATCCTAGGTGCCATATTTCATGAAGCAAACTAATTACATGAATAGTGAAACTAGATTCACATACCAATGTACAACCAAGGCTCTGATACCAATTGTAGGAACTATTGGAATTACATGGAAACTATTTAAGACCTAGTACATTGGTATTCTTACTTAATCATCATCATCTCACTAACACACAAGCATACCTCTTTAAGCACAGATCTATGAGCAACCTCCTTATGTGTAAAATCCATTCACGAACTGATCTCGTCTACGTCATAGCATGAACAATCTCCTTGTAGCTGGTTTGAGGCAGACCTTCCAAACTATCTATCTCTCAAGGGAAAGAGGACAGTGTGTGAGCACTCTCTCACTTTCAGAAAGATGACCTTACCTCAGCCTCTGCTACCACAAAGTGAAGACTCTTGAGAGGCTGGTGACTATAAATGTAGAATATGTATGGGTTCCAAGAAACCTTGGCCTAAAGATGAATGAGCTCTAAGTTTCTTGGGCTCTTCTTACACTCTAGACCCAACTGAACTTTAGTGAAAGAGAAAACCCAACACGGTCTCCCTAGCGCCTTCCTCAATTCACCATTAAGTGTGGACTCCATTGCATTATGCGTATATAACATTATAATGGAATGGTAGCATTAGGCTTATATAGAATGACACTCAACACAAATGTGACATTGCAAAAACATGTTAGGTTTGCTAAATATTGAATAGTTAATGATGGTGTTTTAAAACCCTGATCGGATCGACTGGGTCAACTCAACTCGGGTTTTGGTAACTCTATGAGGGCACCGATGCGAACTGGCTATTGGATCAGTCATGCAGTTGAACTAGTCTTTGACCGGCTGACTCGGTCGAGTCTCAGTGACTCGCAGGTCAAATGGATTTTTCAAAAAATGGACAAAATGTACCACTAGGCTACCCCCAAATTGTTGGTCAAAATTACCCTTATAATATATTTATTGTATAATTTAATATAAATTTAGAAAAAAAATTGACAAAATGCACCATAGGCTGGAAATCAAACCCAGCCTATAGGAATGAGTAGTTCTACCGCTTATCGCTAGGCTACCCTCAATTGTTGGTCAAAATGCAACTTGTAATATATTTATTATATAATTTAATATAAATTTAATTAAACTGGTTGAACTATAACCCAGTACCTCGACTGAGTCGATGACCAAGCCAAGTTTTAAAATTGGTTAATGAATAGAGTTAATATATTTGCGATGCTTCTTCATTACATAATTTGTTTCTTTCTTTTAGTCGAATTTAAACTAGGTTACAGACTTACAGTTTCTTTTCTCTTTTAAAAAGAAAGGTATTTGCTGTTTTTTACTTTTAGTTCAAAAGAAAGTTAAAAAACCAAACAAGAGACGAGGAAAAGAGAGACTAATTATAAAAGAAAGAAAAATATTAAATGATTAGAAATCTTTTATTTGGAGTTTTATCTAAATTAGTTGATGTTATTATCGATTAGTAGATAGAGAGGTGATTCTCTTACAATTCATGTTGGATTCTATCAAAGAGTATCATTTATGGTAAAAGAAAAGAGGGACATTGACCATATTGCCACTCTTTTAATAAAAATTTACTTGATTGCCACTTCTGATTTTTTTTTGCCAAAATGCCACCCCTGAATCCCGCTGGTCTGACAAGCGGGAATGGACTGGACATGTGTCAGCGTCTGAATGGTCAACCATTCTCGCTGGGCTGCCCAGCTAGAATGACAGAATGCTGACACGTGGCAAAAGTACAGACATCCAGAGAATGCCTGTGCTTTTGCCACGTGTCAGCATTCTGTCATTCTAGCTGGGCAGCCCAGCGAGAATGGTTGACCATTCAGACGCTGACACGTGTCCAGTCCATTCCCGCTTGTCAGACCAGCGGGATTCAGGCGTGGCATTTTGGCAAAAAAAATTTCAGAAGTGGCAATCAGGTAAAATTTTGCCTAAAAAGTGGCAATATGGTCATTGTCCCAAGAAAAGAAGTCAATCATGAAATCTAACGTATAGAAGTATGAATTTACATAAATATATACAATTTTGTAAATAATAATAATAATAATAATTGAATAGATATATTTAGAATGTATTAACAGTTTAAACTATTTTAAAATCTTTAAAGGATTTGACTATTATTCAAAATTTATGTGTTATTAATAGTTGCGTATCATTACTACAATTTTATTAGCCTCTATTTGTAGTATGAGATACCAATTAGAGAAATTAGAGCTATTTTAAATTGTTTATAGGATTTAACTATTATTAAAAACTTACAATCTTTACCAAAAAACCAAAAAAAAAAAAAAAATTACAATCAGAGAAGAAAAATTACAAATTCTGACTCAAAATTAGAGTTTTTTTCTCTCTATCTGTAAGTAGGTTTTAGAACTTGAGATGATAGATTTGGAAGAGAGTAATCTCTTTGTAAAACAATGAATTATAAATGGGAATTATGTGACAATAGTTGGTATCACTTCTTTGTCAAGACATAAATTGACACATGTTGTTGATGATCTTGCAGCTTAATTTAAAATTTAATGGTCATTTTCTTCTATATTTTCAAAGTAGCAAACTAATATTCAGTTTCACGCCTAGGTTAAAGAGAAGACTTATTAGCATTAGCGTTGGCTGATCCAAGGAATGAGGGCATCTAAATCTCTTACAAGATGCTTATGAGTTATGACAAATGAAACTACATATATGAAATAATTTGAAACTACATATATATGAAATAATTTGAAACCCCACAAGCGCATACTATTAACAACAAGTTTGGATAATGGTTGCCCTTGAAAATTATAGTAAAAAATATCTATCCTTCATCATTAATTTAATCCTCTAATGCAAAAATATCTTTACTACTCTCATAATATTAAAGATTCAATTTACAATTTTTTAAAGTTGATAAATAATAACTCATCCAATTATATTTATTCTACCACTCATTTATAATTATTATCACTTAAATCCCTCTTTTTCCTATTTTTAAGTAAAAGAGTATCTACTTTTGTAATATTAAAGATATGCTCCCAATATGCCAATAAAGGTATTAACACAGTTCAAGGGATTAAAAGGAACATGTTCAATCAAGAATTTAACACATTAGATTCTAAGAATTAAGAATTTAACACCTTAGCCACTAATACTATATGAACAAGCAAATCAGAATACAAATGCCAAGAATTAGTCATTTTTTTGTTTATACATAAACACATTCATTCATTATTATTCAAAGAAAATGTTCTCAATGTTATAGAATTAATTGGCAATATGAGAGAAAGAAATGAAAGTGTAGAAAAAAAAAATCAAATTAAAAATTCTTGGAAAAGTATGGGAATATCACTAAATTCTAAATTCATTAACGACAACCGTTTTCCATAGAAGCTCTATATCCTTGCATAGGACTCTAAACATATATAAGTTAATAACACGCTATTAATGTGATGGTTATATTATACAACAAAGGTCATGAGAAAATAAAAAGTCATATATTTGACAAAACATGTTCATATTGTGTAGTCATTAAGAGAGAGTGTTGTGAAATATTTGTGGAAATAATTATTTGTCCTGATGACATGAAAATGCATATTTAAGGGCAATGTCTAGCTAATGCAATAACAAAAATTGGAACATTAGATGAAAATGATAAAACAAATGCATTAATGTTTATTCGTCATCATTTGAAAGAGAGTCTGTATACTCAATATTTATCCGTTTGAGAAAGTTTGAAGGATAGATATGATTCTCCCCAGTACTGTCTTTGGGAGGAGTTTAAAGCCTTAATCCTGGGACCCGTCCCTAATGAGACTAATCACATAATGATGAACCGATTGAAATATTTCCAAAAAAAAGAAGAAAGATAATATGATCATACAAACACTGTTATCATTCCTCAAGCACAATATAACTGACAACATCTCACACTGCGATAATTTGAATCGATGTCTAAGTTGAGTTATGTAGTTGTTATATGGAACATTAAAGGTCATGAAAAAACAAAGAGACATACATTTCATATGCATATGAAAATTCATACATAATTATTTTGCAACACTCAAAAGAAAACTTTTATTTTAGGGAAAAATAAAAAGGAAAAAGGTTTGTCCTATTAAAGGACATAAGTTGTGTCCTTTTAATTTTTAACACTATATATTATGGATAATACATAGTTATAATATGAAAAGTTTTTTTTTCTCTCTCGTTTGTCACTTCAGCTGACTTGGAAAGTGAAAAAAAATAACTTTTCATATTATAATTATGTACTATTCGTAATACATATATAGTATAAAAAACTAAAATGACACAACTTATATCATTTTAAAGTACACGCACTAAACCCAAATAAAAAACAAAACTCGCTATAATAATTATTCTATATTCTTTTATTCAAATAGTCATCATACTTTCAAGAACAAACTAGCCCATTTAAGCACAATTTTCTGCTTCTTCACCATTTTGGTAACTTGTAAGGTCTTCTGTTGTCTCCTCTAGAAACCTTTTCACTATATCCATGCTTGGATCAGATACAATCTCTTGGTACAAATCCTTATAATTTTCTCCTTTTAAAATAGCCTCAAACACTTCAGTAGAATCAATCATGTTCATTCCCCATCCAAGCTCATCATTTAGCCTTTGGATCTTCCCAAGTTGAACTTCAGCCAACACACGAGTATTTTCTTTAGTTTTCTTAATTGCATCGTGAAATATCTTTTGTCTATAAGCCTCATCATTTGTTTCTTTCTCCACCAGAATATATTGTTCAAACTCAGGAATTCCAATGGCTCTTCTAATCCCATTAGAGTAATCTGCTCCAGGGACAAAAGCTCTTCGAATCTCATCCACAAGCCCTGCATCCACCATTTCATCAACCCTTTTGTCTAAGTATTGAAATAACACAGGCAAAGACACATGAAGCCAAATGAAGCAACATTCATATTTGGAACGAAATGCATTGTTGGGGTCCTCCACTAGTGCTTCTAAATAGTTATTGGAGCCTCCAACAATTATGGGCAAGTGCCCATTTTCATGAATGAGATCAATAGCAGCAATTGCCTGCTTGCAAAAGTCATCAACAGTGAAGTCATAATCAAGATTTTCAATGACATCTAACAAGTGATGGGGAATGCCACAACGTTCAGATTTTGGTATCTTGTTCACTACAATGTCAAGACCCTTGTATACTTGGATTTTGTCAGAGTTGATAATTTCAGAGGGAAATTGCATGCCCAAGTTGATGGAAAGTTTGGTTTTTCCGGTGCCAGTTGAACCCATTATGAAGAGAACCTTCTTGGAAAGGGATGCAGAACAAGGGAAAGCCATGTTTATTCCTTTTTAAAATCTGAAAAAAAAAGAATATCAGATTATCCTATCAAAGCAGATAAACAGTGTCGCATACTTATAAATCAGAGTTATTAGTTCAAAACAAGATCAATGATTCTCAAATGAGATGTCAAAGTATCAAATTATCTTCTCCCTAAATATATAACAAGATTCAACCTATAATGGATACACAAAAGAATAAACGATTATAAAATATGATAAACAAAAGGATAGACTATATAATATCATATATTAGTAATACATAAAGAGAGGATATAACATTTCTTCTACTTGCTCAAAGATACCATATTTTGTTGAATAAAGTAGAGGAGAAATGAAGACAAGCTTATTGCTTTCACCTGTTATAGGTTTTAGATGAAGTTAAATAGGGCAATAGAGTGTTTTTGTTGATATTGTTATTCGCTTAAGGTTATTTATATAGCATGAATGTCACTATGAGAAAACACAAAGGAAATTTAATGACAAATTCATTTAATTTTGTGTCATACTTTAGGTAAGTTATTTATTAGAATAAAGATGAAAATTGAAAAAAATACAAATTAGGAAATAAAAATCTCCAAATTTGAAATTGCAGATATGCACATAAAAAGACATAAGCAAATACTTGCACCTTAATGTGATTGTGGTAGGTGGAGATTTATTAGATATGCTAGATATAAAAATTTATTATTATAATTAGTGTTTTAAAACTTGGTTCAGTCATCGACTTGATCAAAGTACTGGGTCATTAGTTCAACCGGTTTAATTAAATTTATATTAAATTATATAATAAATATATTATAAGGTGTATTTTGACCAACAATTGATAGCAACCTAGTGATAAGTGATAACACTACTCACTTCCTGGTTAGATTCAAGTTTTAAAACACTGATTATAATAATGGTTTTTAATTAATGTACCAAAAATATATTTATTCTCAATCCAGCATATAATATCATAAGGAAACTTTATAATGACAACCAAATTAATATAGTTACCAAAAATGATTGTATGCAAGAATTTGGTTAATACTACGAGAAATTATTATATAAAGCAATACTATTAGACAAAAGCTATATTTTTGCTTTACCAAAAAAAAAAAACTTTTCCAAAGCAAATTTATTGAATTATTATCCATGGAATAACAGATTTAATGATTAAATCACCATATAAGTGATATGACTATTGTATATTAAGAAAATATTATGTTATATAAATATATGTTGGTATGTTATTTGTGGATTGAATATGATCGTTTGACTTTGGGTGTAGTTTTTTTCAAAAAAAAAGTATATATTAAAAAAATAATTAAAAATAATTTTTTAAATAAAAAAGGAAATAACTTGTAATTTGAAAACAAAGAATAGAATTAATAATAACAAAATTTATTCTTTTGAGAGAGAATAATATGAAATTAACTCACTCCCAACTAAATGTATTAATTTAACAAATAAAGATATATTATCTTGCATCATGTGCACTCAAAGTTGATGATTTGATGGTGCCACCTCAATAATGTTTACACTACAAAAATTCGGGTATTTTGTGGGGTCATATTTCTAAATTATGGCAGTCTTTGACCCCCACAAACGACAACCCCTAGTGTTGCATGTACCACAACACATTTTCTGGAATCTTTTTGTGCAACGCCACAATTTGTTAGAGTATTTTCTGAAGATTTCAGATCTCCACAAATGTTGCACTTTCTGAAGGTTCTAGACCCCCATAAATATTGTATTTATGGAGGTTTACTAACCTTCACAACATGTTTGACTTTCTGTCAACCCCCACAATATTTATCACTTCCTGGAGGGCATAAACTTGCACAATTTATTTGTTATTTTGGCAGGTTTAAATATCTACTATTTGTCATATGTTGTAACAGTTTTAGACTGTCATTATCTAAGTTGAAAGATTTATATACCATAATTTGAGAATTGGGCCCCATCACTTGATTTGTTAGCCAATTTATTATTTAGTTAATCTCTTTACATTTTCTTGAAAATAATTACTAAATACTAGTTATCCAAAAGCAACAGTATAACATACTAATCATAGTTCATATTCATGCTCGCACTTGGTTAACATTTTTTTAAATAAGTAAAAGTATAAATACACTCTAACACTCATTTACTATTATATGAAGTTGTATTAGACAAAACAAAAATTTACATAATATTCTCTTAATGAGGGGCATAAAGGCATTCATAGTAGAGTATGCCTGAGGTTGATTCAAAATTGTGTAAACGAGAAAAAGTAGAAAATTTAAAATTATCCACAACAAGAACACATAAAATTTTTGGCCCTTTCACTCTGTTGCGTTCATCACCACACCCTTGTCTTCATACTTCACTCCCACCAAGTAGCTTATGTGTACCTGTGAACAAAAGTGCATGGATCCAGCTATACGCAAAAATGTGTTTTTCTTGATTGAAACACTGGCTCATACTTATCAAAGATGGGTTATACATGCTTAGGATGGTAGATAGCATACTCATTGTATTTCAAGGGGCTATCTTGATCATCTGAGGCAACTATTCTACGGGGTGTATTCTACGGGGTGTATTGGATTGAGATTTCAAAGGATTTTAATAGATTGTTTTTGGACAAAAAAATCCGTTGGTATTCGATTAGGATTTTAATGGATTGAAAAAAAGTCACGTGGTATTCAATTAGGATTTTAAAGGATTATTTTAGAATCCGTCCAAATCCGTTGGTATTCAATCAGGACTTTAAACAATGGAATCACAATCTCGTAGTATTCAAAAATCCGACGATTTTAATGGATTTTCTATTGGTGTGGATTTCGTGAGACTTTTTAGTGAAAAATATAAAAAAGATGTCTCTCTCACAATCTCACCTCAACCCCTAGGATTTCTTGAGATTCTTTTATTGCAGTGTTTTCTTCTTCCTTGTAGATTGACTGCTCGAAATTGGGTTCTGCCATGAGAACTTCGTCAAAACTAAAAAAGAGAGCATATTTTAGAGCGATTTTCATCACAAAATAATCCAGAAACAACAAACCAACGAGATTTTAATACAATCTATCTCAAAAATAACATATTTTTGAGCCATTTTTTGAGAAATTTTGGAAGTTTAAAAAGTGATTTTTCAAGTTATGGGTCGCGATTTTTCTTGGCACAAAAATGTGTTTTTTGTATTAAAAATAACATAAAACAGTGAAAAAATAATAGGGGAACTTTCGTATTATTTTCGTTTTATTTCAATGAAACAATATTAATTTAAAGAAAGATTGAAATTTTCATAATATGAACCCTATATTTCGTAACAATACATTCATGAACGAAATTCCTTCACTATAGGAAACGATTTCAAACAATTTTTGTGTCAATAGATAATTAAAAGCTTGTTTCTCAAAAGCCCCAAAGCAATTTAAGGTTTCAATGTATCGATTGAAAAAAATTTGAGAAATTTTCTAAACTTTCTTGTAATTAAACCCAAAATTTCAGATTCAAAATTTTCTTAATATTCAATGAAAATATGCATATGATATATGGTTAGAAAATTCCTAAAACCTCAAGGTTTTCAAGATCAATTGCAAAAAATTCCAAACGAAATTTTGTCATGAACTTTAGGTTCTATATGCAAATTTAGAATTATTTTTTATAATTAAAAAAAATTGGGTCTTATACTCATATATGCATAGCTTTGATACCAAATGAAGAAAATAATTTTCAACCCATTAGTTATGTGAAAAGCTGTTGTTTAGTAATTTTGAATGTTTGTTAAAAATTATATTCATGTTTGGGGCAGAATATACTTACCACCAAAAATTTTTACCACCTTTACAACTAACATAATCACCATTAATTTCCTTCAATGTAACAGTTATAATTTATTGGAAATTAATAAATACCACCTAATAATTTCCAATAAATTATAACCGTTAGATTGACGGAAATCAATGGTGATTAAGTTAGTTGTAAATGTTGTAAACTTTTTTTGTGGTAAGTATATCCTTCCCCATTATGTTTTACTGATTGAGAAAATTATATTTGGTTTTACTTTTTTTATTAATTTCATTGTATTTCTTTGTTATTTTTTTATGGGAAAGATTATACTTACAACCTATTTTTTTACAACATTTTACAACCATATCTTAACCGTTGATTTTCGTCAATCAATGGTTATTATTTTTACAAATCAAACTTATTAATTAATATTTCATTTGCAATGAATGATAACCGTTGATTGACAGAAATCAACGGTTAAGATATAGTTGTAAAATATTGTAAACAAAAATAGGTTGTAAGTATAACCTTTCCCTTTTGTATTAACTCTTGTAATTTTGAATGTTTGTTAAAAATTCATATGGTTTTTTAAAATCTTATAGATGCATATTGTCATTTCAAATCTTATGAATTCTATTAAAATCCTTTAAAATCCAATCCTATGAAATCTTGATTGTAAAAAAAGTCTTTTAAAAAAGTCTATAAAGTCTCTCCAATTCTAAAATGTCATTTAAGATCTGTAGGGTTTTTTATCTCAAAAAAATCTTTTAAAATCCTAATCCAATACACTCCCTACCAGAAGGAATTTTTATGTCATCTTTCCAAACAAAATGCTCTGATTCATCTGTTTTCTTCTTTCCTAGCTCCTTCACTCCAAGCTTCTTTTCCTGCAAAAGATTTTGTGTCTTGATTCAATCATTGTTAAAACCACATCAATAACATTCCTGAGAGTGAAAATCAAAAAAGGATACCATGAGTGCCTACCTCAGGTGGGCTTTTCAACTTGGTAATCTCATTTCCTAGAGAAGTAATGGCCAAAACCAAGAACCCTTCTGGCCTGTCCACAGCAGTAAAACCATATCTTGCAGTCTCTGCTGCAGCATCAGAACAAACAATAGTTTTGTCAAACTATTGCCAAAAACACAGACCTGATGAGAAAATGCTCACTCATTAGAATTAAATAAACTACCATTTGTATTTCTAAATACCATATAACTTGGAATCAATAGTGAACATATCGCTAGCAAGAACCCTTTGTGCAAGTTCCTCAAATGATTTGAGCTTCATGATCCTTTGAGTTTTTTCCAGGTATTTCACAATCATCTCATAATCATTTGAATTTTTTTCCAATGGAGAAATTGAGCAACCCAATTTGTTGTATGTGTCTGATAATGGGTCATCAATGGTAGTTGTACATAAAACACTCAAAAATGTTGAAGTTTATGTCTGCCTCTACTCCTGGGAACTTAATGGCTGCTCTATCATATTCACTGCACAGAGAGATTAATACAATTTTATCCTTTGAATCTCACATTTCTCGGAATGAAATTTAATATTTGATTCAGTTCAAGACATAACTAGGTTCCCATTATTTCTGCCGTCAAACTTGCAACTATTTGCAATGATTTTAGCTGCCCACTAATCTGTCACATAATGCCAGGAATTAATATCTAAAGAAATACCGAAAAGAAAATTTTAGGTTTTCGAAAAAACCAAAAATTGATCAAATCCAAACCTAATAAAATTGGATTGGATTGGATAAATTTTTTTAAAAAATCCAAACCGAATGGATGATTTAATGATGAAACCAAAAAGATTGGATCAAATACTTTTTGCTTCAAAACCGATCCAATCCAGATCGTGAACATCCCTACTATATAGCTTTTCAGCGAATATATGGAAAAATGTTTGCTTTGGCTATAGAGTGAGGATATTCTAACTACTAAAAATTCTCACTACTAATTTACTACCCGTCACATCACCATTGGATCAAAGAGAGAGAATGTTAAAAAGTTTTTGAAGAGAGAGAAAATAACATCACCATTGGATCAAAGAGAGAGAATGTTAAAAAGTTTTTGAAGAGAGAGAAAATATTAATTTAATGGTGATTAGATAAGTAGTAAGTTGGTAGTAAAAAATTTTGATAGTTAGAATATCCTTCTTCTTTGGCTATATATTTATGTATAGGGTAATGTATCTTTTGGGATGTCAACTTTTAGGACAAACTTCCAAAATATCAACGGAATTTGTATGTTGAGATATTTGATTAATTGGTTTTGTTAGGCTTACGAGGTGAAAATGTTGAATACATTAATGGGAAAGGTTATAGTTACTACCTTTTATTGTTACTACTAAATCGTAACTGTTGATTTCTGTCAATCTAACGGTTATAATATATTAGAAATTAATAATTAATTAATAAGTATGACCCAATACATTATAACTGTTAGATTGACGGAAATCAGCGGTTATGATTTAGTAGTAACAAGTAGTAACAATAAAAGGTAGTAATTATAACCTCTCCCTTAATGGATTGGTGAAATTGCATAAATTATTGGTAAATAAACTATAGAGCACAATATATTTACCACTAAAAAAGTTTACAACATTTACAACTAACTTAATCAACGTTGATTTCCATCAATCTAACTGTTATTATTTATTGAAAATTATTGGGTCGCATTTATTAATTAATTATTATTCCCAATAAATTATAACCGTTAGATTGTCGGAAATCAACGATTAAATTCATTGTAAAGGTTATAAACTTTTTTGATGGTAAGTATATCCTTCCGCATAATATTTTAAATGGGAGAGAATCATTTACATAACTAGAAATTATCCATCCAAGATCTGAATAGGCAATTTAACATATCAGAAACTTACATATGCCCTACGTAATATATTTAGTAAAATAGAATAAGTTTGAACCTAAAAATAAAAAATATATTGAAAAAAAGGCAATAGAAATACTTTTAAAAGGCATGACCTATAAATTTATAAATTAATCTATATTATATTATTTTTCAAATAAAAAAAATTATTTAAATAATTCAAATTAATAAAATAATATCATCTAAATTATTCTAACTCTTAATAAGTCTAAAAGGTGTAATAGACTTAAATATACTACTAACTTACTAAGTAGACCATATCAATTAAAAAATAAACCAGATCAAACTTATGATTTAGCCTACATTAAACAAATTGACCAATTTCAAAATATTTCGTGCTAAACCCATCCATAGTCATGATGATTGGAAAAAAATTTAATAATATAATAATGAATGGATTTATATGGGACTAAAATGACAGTTTGGTTTGACATTACTTTTAATATTTAAAAGATTTATCTGGTGTCAAATTTTTTAAATGACCACATTAATGTCAAATATTTCTTTAGATGATCAAGTTATAATTTTATCTTCATGTTATATCCAGATTAATTCCGGTTAGTTCAATTGGTTAAAAACGGCAAAAAACAAAACTTATTAATTGCGTTTTTAAAAATATTACATGTTTGACTGTATTTAATTAGGCACATGGTTAATACTTAATACACAACTTTATTATGATTAGGGGTGCTAAACCTAAACGAACCAAGGCCTTTGGTCATGAAGGCTTGAACTTACATGTCTAAAATTGATTGTTAGAATTAGACTTAGTGTCCGTTTGGATGGGCTTTTATTCTTAAAAAAGTTACCTTTTTTAAAATAAAAGTCATTTTGAGAAGTTTTAGATGTTTGGATAACAACTTTTTAAAAAAGCAAAATTTAAATCAACACAAACACGATATGAATTTTTATTCCTGTTAAAATCTTCAACACGAATTTTTTGCGGGTTGACATGATATGACATAAATAACAAGCAAAATAAGGTTGAAACGGTAATTGACAAAAAAAAGTGGTCGAAATTAAAAAACTAAAATAATAATAATAAAAAATAATTAAAAAATACAGGTCAACACAAATTTGACACGCGACATGACACGAATTTTTTTGCGGGTTAACCCGAACACAAATTAGTGTCGTGTTGCAGGTCGACCCGCGTGTCATAACCTGTTTCGACATCCCTATGCATATCCACCCTTCACACTGATCAGCCTCATGATTGCCACCAATCACCATCGGCGTTGCCGCCACCACTTCGACTGGCTACTCCCACTAGCCACCACTACACCAACCACCACCACCATCGCTACCATCACCACTGGCCACCGCCACCACCACTGCCATCAGTTATCCATCACAATTGCCATCAGCTAGCATCGACATTGTCGTCGCCACCCTTATTTCCACCAACCATCCTCGCCTACCACCATCATAACAACCACCACTATCGTCGTCGTTGCCACTGGCCACCACCACCACTACTTTGGGCCACTGCCATCAGTCAGCTATCACAATTGTCACCGGCTATTATCAGCGTCACAACCACCACCATCAATTCATTCGGTCACCCACTGCACCAGGTGCCACCACTACCAACCATTTTCACTAGCCACCGACCACCAATATTGATAATTAATTTAAAACTTAATTTTAAAAATTTATTTAGCGAGAATATATTTTTTTTCATAAAAAAACTATAAGTTATTTATGTATTATAATATATTTTATTTAAAATTTTAACTTTTAAATTTTCTGATAATTTAAATAAGAACTAATGTATAAATAAGTAATAAAAAGTATTTTAAAAAATATATGAATTTTTTTTAAAAAGTGTTTGTTTTATATTTATATTTTAAATCATAAAATAACATTCTATGGTTCGCCGCAAACATCAAACAGCTTATATAGTGCACGTCAAACACAATATATAATATGACCTTATGATGCTCATATCATATCCTTCTTCGGTCCTTTCATCTTATTCAATTCACCAAACGAGCCTGAATTCATCTTTTTCTCTTTATATTTTATCCCTCTACCTCTTCTTCTCCAAGTTGTCAACTTGTGAGTACAAAAGACATCGTCTTGGATTTTGAAAAATATTCTATATTTTTTTTGAGTTTAATATCTCTCATACTATTAGAAATAATTTTATCTCATATTTAAGTATGTAGAGCCATATTTTATTTTTGTTTTTTTATTTTCCCATGACCCCATATTGATCCCACACATTTTTATATGTTTAGGAGATAATTTTATCTCTTACAAACACCAAACCCATTTTTTTTCAAATCTCAAAAACGTTATTTTGAATTGCATAAAATTATAAAACTATCTCGAGGATAAACAATTTTTTCTTAAATAATTTATAGAATAAATATCTTTTTAGGTCCTAAAAAAAAAAACACGAAACTCATTTTAATCCCTTAGAAAAAAATTGACTTGTGATTCATATGAAATTTACAGTTCTTTGAAATTATGATTTCTCATGAATTTAAAAAAGATTCATATTAATTCTTATAAAAAAATTAATAAAAATATTTTTTTTTTTTTGTGGGATTAAAATGAATTTTGTGTTATTTTGTTGAATACTCTAATTTATAAAATGAAACCAGACTATACGTAAATTAATGGTCCGGTAATTGTTCAGTACAATTAACCTACGAAATCGAATGTTGCAACACTCGCACACGATCTGTTTCTATGTGAATCCTGTTCTGCATCAAACAGCCGCAAAGCAACAACGTTGCTCACCCATCTTGGTATGTTCGCATGTTTTCTCTCTCACAAGATTTGACAACACTTTGAACAATATATAATTTCGCTAACGGGTCTTTTTTTTTTTTTTTGAATTTTCATTTTGTGCTATGACTTTTAGTTTTGTGCATAAATGAAACTGAGTTGACTTTCAAAAATGGAGAAGAAGGGAAAGATGAAGAAAGACACTTCAAGTGATGTTGATGTTGCTGCTGTTGTTGTTGATGATGATAGGGATGACAATTGTTGGTATTGGTTGGTTCAGAAAGGAACAACATCTATGTTCATCACTGTTGGGTTGTTTGCAATGTTAATCCGTGTGTTAGTTTCACTTCATCCTTATTCTGGTGCTGCCAACCCTCCAAAGTTTGGGGATTATGAGGCACAGAGGCATTGGATGGAGATCACTCTTAACCTTCCAATTCAAGAATGGTATAGAAACAGCACCAGCAATGATTTGAGATATTGGGGACTTGATTACCCTCCTCTCACTGCTTATCAGAGTTTCATTCATGGCCTTTTTCTTAGATTCTTTCACCCTGACTCCGTTTCTCTTTTCACTTCCAGAGGTCATGAGTCCTATCTTGGGTAGGCATTTTACTTGTTTTCAGTCCTAATTTAACAGATTTATTAAAATCGTGTTTTGGTCCTTGGAACTTGGAAATGTACCTCACTTGCAATTTAGTCCCTCATGTACTTGTTTATTATTTATTTATCCGTAAATGTGTTCTTGTTTTTATATAGCTTTATTGACTTTTGATCCCGATTAGTTTGGGATCAAGGTGATGTTGATGTTGATTTTAAATTATGTGTATGATTGAGTTTTTGAATTATTCAAACTTGATTATGTTAGTCCCTACTACTAGAGATGGCAGATGGAGTAACTTGGAATGAGTTTGACTAATTTAAGGAATCTTGTAATGTGACTTGAATCAATGAGTAAATTACGAGTGAGTTACATTTTCAGGGACCAAAATGAAAGTTTATCCATTTAGGATCCTATCAATTGTTACAATTTTTCTTCTTACTTCTGCAGAAAACTACTCATGAGGTGGACTGTGTTATCATCTGATGCTCTGATATTCTTTCCAGCTGTCCTGTACTTTGTTATTGTTCAGTACAGTCGAACTTCGAGGAGCCGTAATGACTTGGCATGGCACACTACCATGATTCTGCTAAATCCATGTTTGATCTTAATTGATCATGGTCATTTTCAGGTTTCAGATGAAAATTATGTTGTTTAATGGCCTTTGGCTCTTTACTTAGTTTTCAGTCACAGGTTTGGTAGTGCCTTGATTTTGAATGTTGCATTTTGTGGTATTCCAGTACAACTGCATCAGCCTGGGCTTTACCGTTGGAGCTGTTGCTGCTATTCTCTCTGAGAAAGATCTTGTTGCTTCTGTTCTTTATTGTCTAGCTCTAAATCATAAACAGGTTAATCTCCTTCATTATTGCATAGGTCTAGTGTTCATTTGTTTTATACTTTCCAGCTATTCTACATGGTCTATGTAGTGATATATGATTACTCAACCCTACCCAAAGAGGAAATATTATTCAAGTTTTGTGTATGTGCTTATATTGTTATAGTAAGCTTCTTCCTCTTAAGGGAATTTTCATCTTTTTTGTCTGTCAGTTGCTTCATTCATTTACATGTCCTCTTTGTGGTATTGGCGGTGAAGTTGGGATATTAATTAGTTGGATTTGTAGATTATTTTTCCTTTTTCTTGGTCGATTCTTATAATTTATTAATTAATTTGTATGTCCCGAATTGTATCCTAATATACTTATTAGCCTATACACTTGTTTGAATTGAATAAAATTTCTAAATATTTAATAAGATCAATTTGATGACTTTGTTACTGTCGGTTGTGTATCACTAGGAATAAGTGACAATGAACTTTTTGGTTGTTTAGTTGAAGATGGTCTTTAGTTGACAGAACCATACACTTGCTAGGAAAATAACAGATGGAAGAAATGGTTTGGGTAGCCCTGTTAATAAGCTAAGGATATCATGAACTGTATCTGAAGTAACAATCACATGCCCTCTTATTTTTTCCTTTTACTTCCCTTCGCGGCATGATAACTGTTGCATGTAATCTTTTCCAGATGAGTGCATATTTTGCACCTGCTTTTTTCAGCCATCTCCTGGGTAAATGCCTGAGGCGTAAACATCCAATCCTTGAGGTGTCAAAACTGGGGTTGTTGGTTTTAGGAACCTTTGCAGCTGTGTGGTGGCCTTATCTCTATTCAACACATTCCATTTTGGAGGTAACATTGTTATTTAACTTGGCTACTAGAAACTAACTTCTCATTTGTTTACTTTTATTCTTACAACAAGCATATTACTTTTGCTGTTGTGCTTACTTTAAACAGAGAGGTTGTAGTATTTTACTTTTTTGTTAAAAATTTTCTTCTTTTTATCGCCCAGAAATGCCTAGTGCAATTCTTCTTGTTAAATTATATATATGCCACATGCATGAAATCCAGCTTGGGCTACTAAATGCCTAGTTATTGGGTTTAATCTTGACGGCCACTGTAAATTGATGTTGCATTTGTAGCTTCAGAAAGCTTTGTAATGATGGTAGATAATTGGATAATTTGTTGGTGCCACAAGCCCACAAGTGGCACATATGACACAATCAAGTAGACTGTCTGATCATATTTTCCAGTCTATGTTGTAGGATGATATGATCTTGACTTTTAGTGTGTATGCTCCTGATTTTGCCACATGGTTGTGGTATGTGTTCCCCCTGTGGCATCAAAGAGTTATCCTAAATATTTAATTTGTTTTTTTATTTGCATTTGAAATTCTTTTGATGTTTATTATTTATAATTATTAGTACTATTTTTTTTTGGTACAGAATTATTAGTACTATTTATTTATCCTTTGTGCTGTCTGCTGAGTAGTCAATAGACTAATTAATAATCATCTTGGTTCAGTTAATCATGCAGACCTAGTTGCATGTATAAGAAAATAGTCAAAAAGCTGGACTCAAGTTATTGAATGAGTAACTTAGAGCCTGGTATATGTCTATGAGAAGGGATTTTTCTATTCATTTTAGAGCATGAATGAAGTATGTATATGTGATTATATTAGGCATATCTTTCAAACAAAGAAGCAGATTTCTGAAATTTCTAGGTTATAATCTCAACAGTCAACCCCCTTTACCCTTCCCTTCCCTTTGAATTTATTAATTCATTGAAAAATTCTTGGCTTCTTGTCTCAGAGTTACATATGCTTCTCATTCTATTTTGGTGCTACATTATTCATCAGAAGAATCTTGTGCTATGATACAGATATTTTAATACTGGTGTTAACCCTTTTGCTTGATGTTTTTGGCTTAATGTGGCAAGAGCAGCATGGAAGGTTTAGATGTAGAGTCTAATGTTCAAGTTTGTTTAGCCACTTTGATTTGTTGGGGGATCTAACAAAGGCCCTTGGTATTTTGATACGCCTTTGAATGGAAATCCTCTATTGACTGATTTTTTTTTTTTTTACTTAGGTTTTCAAAAGATTACTTAAGGACTTGACAATTTGAAGTGGGCATACTTTTCTCTCAGAGAGCGTGAACCCTTATCTAGAATTATTTGTTGAGTGCATATTTTGTCCTTGCTTAAGGTTCCTGTGGGCAGTTGGCCAACATAAAACTTCGTTGAATCTTTTTGACCTGAATCAATGATGCAACACTTAGTGCATAAGGCTTGGTTGTTATTATTGTTGTTGTTTAAGATTCCTGTAAGGGTGGCAGACAAAATTATTAATGATTCCTTATGGATATGGTCATGCATTAGAGATTCTGAGACAGATCATTTAGTTAGTTGCGCAAGGTTTTCTGTTAACTGAAGCAAGAAGTGGGCATCGGGGAATGGAATTCGGTGTCTAAAATGGTTCCCTTGTGGTTAAATAATTGTGGTGATTTCCTTTAGAGCCTTAGTCCTTTTAGCATAGAGTGTTGAGGAGCTAATATGGTGATACAACTCCCCCTAAATTTATAGCTTACCGTAGGAAGCATTTCAGAGAATTAGACTCCATGACTGCTGATCTGGCTGCTGAATCACCATCAGCAGATGAGGAGAGCGTGAATAATGCTGGCGTGGCTGCCGAGTCACCATCAAGTGAGGAGAAGGTGGAAAATGGTTAGAAGAAAGAGAATAAGGAGGGGAGGATGCAAGGAGTGTGGCATCTTTGGATCATTTGGAATTTTGGGCTCTTGGGAGAGATTAGAGGCTCTTCAACTCATCTGAATCTATCCTTTACTTTGCTTTTATTTTCCATTTGTGAAATTGTCTTAGAAAGTTAATCTGTATTTGGAATTTGGGGTTTATTTTGTGGGTATTAATTTGTATTGGAAAGTTCTGTTCTATGCAGTTGCAAAGAGCATTACAGAAGTTGAAATACAATTGTCGATTCCAGTTTTTTATATCATTCTCAGGAAAAGGGATTGGGGTTGTACTAATGCAAGAGGGCAGACCCTTGGCATTTATTAGTCAGGGGTTCTCACCAAGAGCCCAAGTAAAGTCAGTTTATGAAAAGGATTTAATGACGCTTGTCTTTGCTATCCAGAAGTTGAGACACTATCTTATGGGAAGGCACTTTGTTGTTAAAACCGATCAAAAAAGCCTGAAATTCCTAATGGACCAAAGGGTATTGGGGGAGGACCAACAAGGACATCCAAACTGTTGGGGTTTGATTTTGAGATGCAGTATTAGCCAGGTCGTGAGAATATGGTGGCTGATGCTCTCTCACGTAATATGCACTATTTTCCCCCACTTCAATTGCTTCGCTGCCACTGATTGAACAGGTTGAGGAAGAGCAGCAATCAGATCCCTACTTGCGGCAAGTTATACTGGATCTGCTGCATAATCCAGCAAGCCATCAAGGTTTTCGAGTGCACGAAGGGAGTTGGTGGTACCTAAAAATTCTAAACTGGTAGCCAGTCTCCTATGCGAATTTCATGACACCCCTAGTGGAGGGCACTCTGGGTTCTTTAGAACCTTCAAAAGGATCTCTAATCTGATCTATTGGGAAGGAATAAAGAAAACCATTCAGTCCTATGTCTCCCAGTGTGAAATCTGCCAACACAGTAAAGCCTCTAACTTGACACCAGCCGGATTGTTGCAGTCCCAGATCAGGTATGGACAGATGTGTCTTTAGATTTTGTTGGGGGACTGCCTAAAGCTTGTAGCGTTGATACAGTTCTAGTGGTAATGGATAGGCTCTCAAAGTATGCCCATTTTTTGCCATTATGTCACCCCTACAGTGCTAAAGAGGTCGCAATGCTTTTTATTAAAAATATTGTTAAACTGCATGGCTTCCCACGGTCAATTGTTTCAGACAGGGATAAAGTTTTCCTTAGCCATTTCTGGTCAGAGCTCTTTAAACAAGCTGGCACCTATTTGCGGTTTAGTACCGCTTATCACCCCAGTCCAACGGGCAAACAGAGATTGTAAATAAATGCTTAGAGACTTATCTCCGGTGTTTTTGCCATCCTCAGCCTAAATAGTGGCCTCATTGGCTGCGTTGGGTAAATATTGGTACAATACCAAGTATAAGGCGTCCACTGGAATTACCCCATTTAAGGCTTTATATGGGACTGACCCCCCATCTTTATTTAGAATGGGGCATGGTGCTAAGGTGGTAGAAGTGGAAAAGATGTTACAGATCTTATCCTACAAGAGCTAAAACAACATCTGATTATGGCCCAAAACCGTATAAAGGTCCAAGCTGATAGGCATAGAAGGGACATCGAATTGGGGGTCAATGATATGTTTTATCTTAGGATTCACCCCTATTGGCTGAAGACACTAGCTAGGCGCATTAATGAGAAGCTCAGTCCTTGATACTATGGCCCCTACAAGGTCATAGAAAGGGTGGGAGCAGTAGTATATAAACTAGCTTTACCTGCCAATTGTCTTATACATCCAGTTTTTCACATATCTCTGTTGAAGAAGGAAATTTCTATTTCTGATTAGGTCCAACCTTACCACCAATGCTTACAGTCGAGTTTGAGCTACAGATAACACAACATGAGGTCTTGCAATGGAGGAAAACTGCTGCACCGGCAAGGTGCTTAAATTGGGGGAGGGAGTATTGATACAACCCCCCTAAATTTATAGCTTACCGTAGGAAGCGTTTCAAAGAATTAGACTCCGTGATTGCTGATCTGGATGCTGAATCACCATCAGCACGTGAGGAGAGCGTGAATAATGCTGGCGTGGCTGCTGAGTCACCATCAAGTGAGGAGAAGGTGGAAAACGGTTAGAAGAGAAAGAATAAGGAGGGGAGGACGCAAGGAGTGTGGCATCTTTGGATCATTTGGGGTTCTGGGCTGTTGGGAGATCAGGGGCTCTCCAACTCCTTTGAATCTATCCTTTACTTTGCTTTTATTTTCCATTTGTGAAATTGTCTCAAAAAATTAATTTGTATTTGGAATTTGGGGTTTATTTTGTGGGTATTAGTTTGTATTGGAAAGTTCTGTTCTGTGTAGTTACAAAGAGCATTACAGAAGTTGAAATACAATTGTCGATTCCAGTTTTTGTATATCTTTCTCTGGAGTTTGGTTGTTTGTGTTATATATGGTTTGCGTTAGAGTGGTTGGGATGCTAAGATGGAGGTCAATGCTTGTCATGCAATACCGTAGGAGTTCATTTCTGTAGTATCTCTCTCATTCTTTCCTTTCTTTTCTCTTTCATGGCAGATGGTTCTAATATCCTGCTTTGGGAGGATTTGTGGATTGGGGGAACTTCATTATTCACTCTTTTCCTTCTCTCATAGAGACTTTCAGCTTTGCATAATGCGCCTTTATGTTTTTTATTTTTATTTTTATAAAGATATCAGGTTTCTTGGATTTATACTACGTTAGGAATCTCTATGACTGAGAACCTTCTGGCTTGGACTCCATGTTTCTTATTCTAGAGTCTAGACTCTTTTCAATTTTCTAGTTACCTGATTCGAGTACATGTAGAATTTCCACTCTTCCAGATTATTCATATATAAATTCCCTTTTTTTTTCTATTTTCTATTTCATAGCCCGTTCACTGTAAATGTTCCCTAGAATCCCTACTACTTTTGGAAGGTGCCTAACTGCTTAAGTTTTTAGGAAAGTTAATCCTCGACATAGTATTAAAGCTCCTATGAATGAGTGTATTAGAATTTCAATCCATGGTTCCCCCATTTTTCATAATTAAATTAAATTTCAACACGTGAAATAATTCTACGCATTGTCCAAACTTCAAGGTCGATAGTATTTTGCATGAGGGCTTGCTAAATATAAAATCATTCATGGGCCTCCACCTAATAGGTTAAGTTTTTATGATTGTTGGGCCTTCACAGATAAGGGATCTGTTGCAACTTGCAAGTACTTACATCATATAAGGCTATGTCTCCAATGTTGTATAGGAGTTTGGAATTTCCTAGTCAGATCCTTTGCACTGAGTCTGCTTGACAGTTTGTTGATAAAGTTGTTTGGATTGTTCAATGAGCATTGAATTTGTCCTCCTACTCCAGATTTTCTTCTTTTCTAATTATCATGATTGCAGATTTTTTCATTAAGGCTCTTAGAGATCTCCGAGTCAACTATATATGCGATCAAGTTTGGCAGATATGTTCTATAAGCACTAGCATGAGAGGGAGTATTAAAATATCTTGATAGAATATGGACCATCTGAGAATATTGTAGATGATTATGGTAGGATATCATGTATATACTATCGAATAAGTTAGGACTGTGTATAAGAGGGATTGAATCATTGTAATTAATACCCACACTAATATATAGAGACCTCAACCCTTGCAAGTTGGGGAGCCTTGCATTAGTGTTTGTCTTTTGCCTGATTTGTCAGTATAGTCTGTTGTAGACACCCAAATTCACCCAATCAGAATTCCTCTTTAAAATTCAAGTACAGTTTTGGGAAAATGAGATGATGGTTTTGTGGAGGCATAGATAGTATCTGTTTGGGCTTGTGGTTTATTTGGTTTCAGGGAAATACTAGGATTTTCAGCCATTGGTCTGCATGTGAATTTTAATCGGGATAGGAATCATAGGATATTTTCTCTTGCTTCGTTGTTGGCTTTTGCCCTTGCTTTTTTTAAATTGGTTTCTTTGTTGGTTATATAGAGCTATTTGATAGCTCCTTTAAGGGTTTATTATTATTATTATTATTATTATTACTATTTTCATTGCTATTAGGAGGATTCATGATCCTCACGCTCTGTATTTCTCTTATATTCCAATAATTGGTATATGTGGATGCAGTGATAGTTTAAACATCATTGTGCAGCATGTTTGTAAATTAAATAATGCTGCCTGTTTCCCTCATTGTATTTTATTTGCTATAGGAAAGATTGTGACTACTTACTACATAATTAAAAATTATGATTTCATTTCAACAAAATATTCACGTTAGTAAAAGAATATCATTATCATTCTCAATCCAGGCATGCTTACTGGTTTGCTTTGTGTTACCTTTCTTCCAAAGTAGTGAAACTTTTTGTGTTGCTTCAATATTTTGTAAAAGTTCTGATGATGTAGGCCACAGAGAATATCCCAGATAAAAAAATCATAGCCAAGTTTGATATTCATAGATAATTATATTTTTTGCAAATTGAAAGTTTGCAAACAAATTTAGGAATCTTGAGCCTTAAATGAGTTATTAAAAGTACGTTTTTTGAGATGGAAGCAATAGATCTAAATCTAATTGAGGGATATAAATATAGATATGGCAGTAGTATAAGTAAGTTCAACCCAAGTCGTGGATTGATACATCAAATTAAACAATATATATGCTTTCTTTTTGCAAAAACTATTTTCTGATATTTATAAGGACCCTTGTTAATTACGTGTGACACTTGTAACAGGTACTCTCTCGTCTTGCTCCTTTTGAAAGGGGAATATTTGAGGATTATGTGGCCAACTTTTGGTGTGCCTCTTCAATTATCATCAAGTGGAAGAGATTGTTTACAACAGAGTCACTGAAGCTCCTCAGCTTCACTGCAACAGTTATAACCTGTCTTCCCTCAATGATTCTACAAATAAAGTCTCCTAGTAAACTGGGTTTCCTTTATGGACTGCTAAATAGTTCTTTCTCCTTTTACTTGTTTTCTTTTCAAGGTTGGTAGCACTTCTTTTTCTTTTCACATTCATGAATGGAGACGATTTTGTTAAGAATTATCTTATGAGAAATTATCTGTGCTCCTTTTGTGCCCTTTCAGTGCATGAGAAGTCCATTTTGCTGCCACTTCTTCCGGCAACTCTGCTGGCTGTTGAAGAGCCCTTTATTTTTAGGTGGTTCATGCAATTTGCCATGCTCTCCATGTTTCCTCTGATATGTCGTGACGACTTGGTTGTTCCGTATTTGGCTTTACTTGCTCTCTTTATGCTGATACTCAATGCACCTGGTCAACAAAGAGTTAGAGAGAATAATTATTTTAGTAACTATTTCGGCACAACAACCATACACCTTATTTTATGTTGCTTTTTTATTCTTCATGTAGTTTACTTGACCATGCATCCTCCTGAGAAGTATCCTTTCCTTTTTGAAGCATTGATTATGAATCTGTGCTTCTCTCAGTTTGTGCTTGTAACTCTTGGCTGCAATATAACGCAGTGGGTATTACATAAACCTGTCAGATTACAAGGAACAAAAAAGAAGCTCATTTGACATTGGTTTCACTTTTTGAGTTAGATGGGTTGTTCTTGTTATAGACAGTTGGATGTAGGGGTGGTAGCATCTTCGATGCACTTCAGTTATGGGATATAGAAAGTGAATACAAGATCTTGGCCTGCATTGACCTCTTTTGTAATGATTTTATAATCTTTAGTCTTGTTTGATTACTTCCCTCTATGGTTTGGTTGTTCATTTCCCATGTCTATATTTATTCAGATTTTATTGGTGCTACAGAAAAAACCATTTATATTTTCTAAAGTACCCTTTGGTACAATGATTTCAACTTTGAAAAAGCTACTTGAAATTAGTTGTTTTAATTTTTGACTCAAACACTAATACTATTTTTTAAATCAGCAAAGAAGAAAGTGCATTCAATGAGAATGCATATTTCACTGCTGGTTCATGCTAAATTGCTTATTTACACTTTGTATTTACCATTTTTCTTCTAATTCTTAAATTATCTTTGATTGAATAGATTTTTAAATCGAACCTTAATTACAATCATATGCGTCTATTTCAGGATTAATTTAGAAAGTACAAAAATCATTAGTTGAGAATGTAAACAATTGAAAGTGTCAAACAGCTTTGCTCTTAAATGAGATTATGGTGTAAACTGAGAATTGTGTAAGTCTGATGTATCTTTAGTATAATTTTTTCATACCAGCATCTAATCTCATGTTGACATTTTATTTAATGAAATTAAATTTAATTGAGAAATTTTTATAATCTTACTAAATATTCATAATCCTTCAATTATATATATAACACAAAAAGGGCCATGCTTATCATATGTGTAAAATTTATGTAAAGATTCAATCCAAAGCCTAATGAGTTGGACTCGAAAATTGTAAGCGATATTACTCTTTTGTAGACTTATTTAACATGGATCTACACATTTATGGTACAACATTCTTAAGGTTTCAGATTCAATTCATCAATTGTGCCATAAGAATTAAAAGTACAAACGTATCCTTTAAAAAACATAAGACTTTGGATTTAGTATTTATACAACAAAGTTCTAATACATACGTAAACATAAATTGCTGCAATATGAAATCCAAAACACCAACGATATGCTATTAAAAATCTTACATGCATTTATCGTTGATTTTGCACAAAGATGGAAAGATTATATTGTCTGTTACGTGGTAAAGTTCTTTCTAAATTCATTAATGATAATTAATAAGTGGCTTTCTATTAAAGGTTAAAGACTTTCTCATGTAAATGGGAACAATTTTTTTTTCCTATGCATACAACAAATATGTAGATCCTATTGAAAAGAGAAAAAAGAAAAAAAAATTCAGTGAAATCCACATATTTGTTGTGTATAAGAGAAGAAATTCTTGTCATATAACATGAAAAGTTTTTAATCTTTTTTTTTTAAAAATATTCCAATCGGTTCATCGCTTCGCAACTAATCCGATTCGGGGCGAGTCCAGGATTAAGGCTTTAAACCATTCTCAAAGATGGTACTGAAAGGATTCGAACACATGCTCTCTCTCTCCACCTGCTCAATTGCCATGCGCCAACTGAACTACCACAATTTGATAGTTTTTAATCCTTTTATTTAAAGTCCTGACAAACTCAACTAATCCGATTTCGGTTTTGAGTTTCTTCATTCTATATAATAGTGACAACTCAAAGAAATCAAATACATTATCTTTTGAATAAATTAAATCCTAAAATCTAAATGGGACAATACTAAATCAGCATCACTTAAATAAAAGAATATATCTTAAATTTGCAGGAAGTAAAAATTGGACTTTGTCTGATTATAGCAAAATCTAAAAGACTCTCCTATTAAGGGTCACAAACCTTAACACACTCACCGTCCTATGCACCGTTTGTCTCAACCTGGTGCACCGTCCTATGTCACATGGTGTTTGAGTTTTTTTTTTTTTTTTTTAAATATTACAGTCTATATTGCATCGACATCGACACAGGACACGGCACACGGGATATGACATGGCACTCTGACACGTTAATTCTAAAATATGTTAGTTTTTGACACATTAGGACACGTTTTAATATTTAATAATATTTTTAATTTATGTAGTGTATATTATATTTAATATTCAACAATTTAACAAAAAAGTGAAACTAGACTTATAATACCAATCAATTTTGCAAAAAAAACATAAGATTCTTAAATATTTATATTAAACTCAATGAAATGGTAATCGTAATCCAACGAATCTAATAGTTGGTACTAAAAACTCAATGCAACGCCACATTTGAATTCTTTCTTGAGTCTCTAGAATGCGTGTTGGAGTGTCGAAGTATCGGAGAGTGTTAGGAAGTGTCGGATACGACACGTCAGGATTTTTGAAGTGTCGCTGTTTCATAAATTATAGTCATAACTTTTATATAAATTTAAAATTTACAAGACCGTTTATTCAAATCTCTACCAAATTCAATTAATTTGAAGGTATAGGTGAATTTTCAGTTATTAACAATATTTGGGATTGTTACACTTGTATATTAATGTAATCAATCCACTCCCCAAAATAAAATTTCAACAATTAATGATATTGCATCTTAAAGAATTTTCAACAATTCCATATTTGATTATTGTATTTCATGCTTCAATCCGACAGTTACAGGATACCCTATTTAAGGAATTTTATTTATTTAATTAATAACTTTTTTTTTATCTATAAAATATTTTATTCAAATCTCTACCAACCCCAATCACATTAAATGCAATAAATGAATTATAAAAAATATCTCTACTTTGTATTCTTGTCTAAAAGAAAATTCATATAATTGATCTACTCACAAAATAAAACTTCACAATTAATGGAAGATTATTTTGTGGTCCTAAATTTTACTCTCTTTTTTGTATATGTATTCTAAAGCGTTTTTTGTTTTGTTTTAGATTTCTACACCAATTCATGAATTAATCGATTATTTCAAATGACTTTTGAACCTAACAAATCCAAATTCAGCCACGTAAGTTCATTTAAGGAACCAAAGCTCTATTAACGTTTTTTTTTTCATTCACAAGACTCCAACATGAAACCTTAATTTATGAAAATTAAACTTCTTGCTACACAAATCAGTAAACGTTACCAATACATTAATAATTCCTATTTTTTTACAAAAAAAAATCCTGCATCTCAACATGATTCATGCATCCACTAACTCCAGTTACATTAAAGGTATGTTTCTGGAGTTACCATTCAAGCCGAAAAATAAGTCTTTATAATGATGGTAGTTCAGTTGGCGCATGAGAATTAACTAGGTAAGGGTGATAGTATGTGTTCGATCTCTTTAATATCATTTTTGGGAGAAATTTAAAATCTTAATCCTGAATCCATCCCGAACTCTGTATTACTCCATAAGAAACCTATGAAATTATTGGGGGATAATCTCAAAAAAAAAAAAAAAACCATCATCAAAATTCACACCTTTTTATATTAGCAAATGTACACAATATTATATTATTACATTATATATATATAAATAAAGGGGTCACCTTCAAATTCTAGCTATATATATATATATATAGGTAGAGTCAAGCATCTAATTCACATCTCATACCCAAAAATAAAAATAAAAAACACTCTCTTGCAATTACAACCATGGTGATGGTGTTTCTCACAACCCTTCTAGTCATTCTTATGACCCTGCTTTTAAAAGTTGCCTATGACACCATCTCATGTTATTGGCTTACTCCAATACGCATCAAGAAAATCATGGAGAAGCAAGGTGTTCATGGCCCCAAACCTCGCTTTCTCACAGGCAACATCAAAGACATGGCTTCCCTTGTTTCAATAGCCATTTCACAAGACATGAAAACCATCAACCATGATATTGTTGCTCGCCTTTTGCCACATTTTGTTGCTTGGTCTAACCAATATGGTAATATATATATATATATATATATATGCACATAAATACATATATATATATATATACCAATTCATGTGTGTGTATCTCAATTTTTTTTATTTTTTATTTTTTATATTCATGTTAATTATGGGACTGTGCAGGGAAGAGATTTCTATATTGGAATGGTATAGAGCCAAGGTTGTGCCTAACAGAAACTGGATTGATCAAAGAATTTTTATCAAAGTACAGTAACATATCTGGGAAATCATGGCAGCAACAACAAGGGTCCAAACATTTCATTGGGAGAGGTTTGTTAATGGCAAATGGTGAAGATTGGTACCACCAACGCCACCTTGTTGCCCCTGCATTCATGGGAGACAGACTTAAGGTATTGTTGATACTAATTAATCAGTGACACACACTGACACATAAATGGTTTTAATGTTTCTCCTGTCACTAAAGATAAAATCATCTCAAAACGATATTGTTTTGGAATCGGAAGAAATGTATTTTTATAATTTTAATTTATTTTGGGTTTATATATATATTGGTACTAATTGATATGGGGTTGTAGAGATTAGTCAGAAATGGTTGGTCTTAAAAATTTGATGGGTATAATTGTATGTATATATAGGGCTATGCTGGGCATATGGTGGAATGTACTAAGGAGATGCTACAATCACTGCAAAATGTGTTAGAATCCGGCAAAACTGAGGTTGAGATTGGAGAGTACTTGACTAAACTCACTGCAGATATCATCTCTAGAACCGAGTTTGGTACAAGCTATGAAAAGGGAAAGCAAATTTTTCATCTCCTCACAGAGCTGCAGAATCTTTGTGCTCAAGCAACTCGCCATCTTTGCTTTCCTGGAAGCAGGTGTGTGAGTTTATAGAATTCAAAATCACCCCATATATGTAAATGAGATTAACGTTTCTCGTGTCGTACGAGATCAATTTTATCAATTTTTCTCCTACACATATATAAAAGTATGTGGGATTCATATGGACCTATATAAAGAGAAGAGAGAAAAAAAAAATATGAACACTACACACTTCTATGTATGCGTAGAACAGATAAACAATAAACCTTATGTAAATATATGTGATATGTATTGAGTGACAAATTCACCCCCTTATATATGTGAATATATTTGATTCTATATATAGTTATAGACATTGTTATTTTTTATTCCTGTGTCCCCCTTATTTTTTAAAATGTTAATATAGAACTTATGGTTAAATTTATATGTGTAGGTTTTTCCCTAGTACTTATAACAGGGAGATAAAGTCATTAAAGATGGAAGTGGAAAGATTGTTGATAGAGATCATACAAAGTAGGAAAGATTGTGTGGAAATGGGTAGAAGCAATTCATATGGGAATGATTTGTTAGGTATGCTTCTTGGTGAGATTCAGAAGAATGGTGGTAACTTGAATCTGCAGCTAGTTATGGATGAATGCAAAACATTTTTCTTTGCTGGACATGAAACTACTGCACTCTTACTCACTTGGACAACTATGTTGCTTGCAAGTAATCCATATTGGCAAGACAAAGTTAGAGCTGAAGTTAAAGAACTCTTCAATGGTGGAACTCCTTCTGTTGATCAACTATCAAAGCTCACTGTGGTTAGTAACAATTTACTCTTCCAATTATTTGCTTTTAAAAAATCTTTACATCAAGCCATTAGAATACGTTTCATTTTGTATAGGTACTTTAATTTTAATTGTGTCAATCTTGCATCGAAACTAACATGGAACAGTGGGATACGACACAACATTCTGACACGTTAATTTTAAAAAAATAAATAGATTTCGACACATTAGGACATGTTTTGATATTAAATAATATTTTTAATATATGTAATGTGTATTATATTTAATATTCAATAATTTAATAAAAAATTGAAGCTAAACTTATAATACCCATCAATTTTATAAAGAAACATAAGATATCACAAATATTTATATTAAACTTAATAAAATAATAATCATATTCCAAAAAATCTAATAGTTAGAACTAAAAACGCAACACAATGCAATCTTTGAATTCTTTTTTGAGTCTTTGCACCGCGCGTTGGAATATCAGGGAGTGTCAGAGTATGTCAAACATGACACATCAGATTTTTTGAAATATCAATTCATTTTTTATAGATCCAATATAATAATTGCCTTTCTAACCCCGCACAAGTCAGATTGAAGAAAACGTTTAATTGGGTTATTAAACACAGAAAAGAATCATTTGTACAATTGTTGACGATAAAAAGAATAAAAAATATTTATAATAAGGATTTAGTTTAATTTCATCTTGTCATATATTTATTTATGGAAAAAATATTTCTGCAGTTAATGCAGATAAGTTATCTATATTTATTTCTAAAACGACGTCATTTTGGTATTGAAATCTTAAAAAATTATAAATATAAAAACTATTATAACCCTGAAATAAATTAAAATTACAAAAATATCATAATTTCCGCCCAAAACGACGTCGTATTTGGCTTACTGAAGATAAGTAACTGCAGAAAAAGCGAACCCTTCATTTATTATCAAATCATTATAAATATTTTATTATAATAATATTGATTCGAAAATTATTATTTTTATAATATTTTAAATTTTTTTAATAACATGTTAGTTATGATTGAACAAAAATTAATGTTCTACTATAATAATAATAATGATTCAAATACTATCAAAAAGAAATTGTAATTAATATGTTTCATTATAGATATATGTATATTAGTAAAATTCTCTTTAGTGGAAATTTCAAAATCATTAAATGCATAGTGTTATTTCTTTTCTTTTTTTAAATAATTTTTCTTTTTTTTCAAAAAAGTAATAGATAAAGTAAAAAGTTATGACCAAAACTTTTTCAAATCCTGGTATGTAGGTAAATGGTTGTGTCCCTTAAGCATGCTGACAGAGGTTTGATCTCTGGTCCTGTATATGGAAAATGCTTTGTTGATTTAGGCAAAACTCACTTCGATGATCTTTACACCTCGAAAGAATTAGTCTTCGACTGTAGGCTGATGAATATCCAGAGAAAACTCAAAAAATTAAAAAATATAACTATAACATTATTTTTTTGAGAATGAATTAAAAATGAAATTAAAATATAGAGCTAGATTTAGTGATAACATTTATTTATTTATTATTACTATTACTAATATTATTATTATGAAAAATAAATAATAATATCATTAAATGCATTCGGTGGAAGTGTTGAAAAGAAACTATTAAATAAAATAAAAAATGACAACATTTAAAAAGTTGAAATTAATTTTCAACATTTTCTTATCTACATTTAATAATAATTATATAAAAATAGATTTGTGAATTCAAATATCCAAAATAATAAAAAAGCACAAACTTCTAAATTCTGAAAGAATTGAAAAGAAAAAAAAATTGAATAACATCGACAATAACATGGCAAAAATTAATTTTCTCTATTATCTATATTTGAAAATTTCTTTTTGAAAAAATATTTTGTAGAATTAGTTTGCCAAAAATAATAATCTAACACAACAAAGTTTTTGATAAAAATTATAAATATAAAAGACGAAATAACCTATAATAGCATGGGGAAGATAATTATAGCTAGTATTTGTTAAAAAAAAAATTCTTTTAGTAAATAGTATTTGTTAATAGAGAAAGATTATTTTATCTATATTTTTCCGTGCCTACCTTATTTATTACTTTTTAATATCGTTAGATCAAAATCTTAAAAGAACAGAGAAATGATAAATTGTTAGTTGAAAATCTAATCTCACAATATTAGAAAGTGATAGATAAAATAAGTATGAAAAAAAAAATAAGTAGAATAATATATTACTTTTTAATCTAGCTTCTTTTTGCTGCTGATTGCACTGTAACTTCTTTGCAAAAAGCCCAATTAAGCTTGAAGATTTTGAGCTTCTAGTTATTAGCTCGAGTATAAGAAAAGACAAGACGATCTAGATTATTATATTCTAACTAGGACACATGAGTCTATAATATTTATTTTTAAAAAGTAAGTTTTTTTAATAATATAATAGTACATAATTAAATAACAATTAAAAAATTTACTTTGTAATGAAGGGATAATAACTTGTCCTATTGTAGGGTAGACACAAACTGACATGAGCTCCGCTGTATTTTTTTTTTCAAAAAAAAGTTAGCACATGTGTAGAAAATTTTTTCTTTCTCCTATAAAAGGAGAGATAAATTTCCTTATAATGAATCAGGGAAAAAAATTTATTCTTTTAAATGACAGAATTTATATTTTTTTACTCTCATAAAGAGGTGGATTTACACCTTATTTTTTTTTGTCAACTCCCTCTCATTTTTTATCTATCTCTTTCTTTCTCTTAAAATGACATAACTTTGTCTCCTTTAAAATAATACACACTTTTCCTAATGAGTCAAATCTAAAGTAAAAAAACTATGTAATTAACTTTTTAAATTATTAGCTAGTAATATTTATTCTTATACTGTAGGTTCTTTTTGCCTGGTTACATTGTAGTCTCTTTGCAAAAGCCCAATTAAGATTAAATATGTTAAATATTTTATTGGCTCGAATTTTAGAAAAGACAATCTAGAAATATTATAGTTTAACTAGGACATGACTCTATAAAGAAACAAAAAAAATATATTAATGATTTAAAGATCATCTTGGCACTCATGAAACTGTAATTGATGTTATTTTCAAGGATATTTAAAATGGGTTATCTTTCTTTGAGAGCATCCAAATGCTTAAAAATTAAAAACTATTTAATTCAGTACGCGAAGGCTTGAATTTTAGAATAAGGTTACAGCCATACTTTTTTAAAAAAAATTAAGATTCTCCCCCATTACATATCTTAGTATTATTAGATTATATTTTACTTCATGAACAATTTATATCAATATTTTTAAATAGATTTATGGAAAACTTAATTCTATAAAGAATTGTAAGACCACCTCTTGGTGACTCCTAACATTTTTATTATTCTTGGAGGAGAAAGAAAACTAAAATGAAAAAAAAAAATGAGTGGACCCTATTCTACTCAATGACATGGTTTTATGGCTACCCACTTCAGAAATTTATGAGTATTTATTTATCTCATAGAGCTAAGAAGGCCCAATAGAAAATTCATGTGAACCAAATAGTACAGTACTAAATTTTTTATAATAGGCTAGATTTTTGAAAAGATGGTCAAAGAATCAGCTTTACCTTAAAATATTGTAACTGCCACAAAAAAAAAAAGGGTAGCTTTTATCTTTGTTAGCCAACACAATAATAAACTAAACTATGGTCTTATTTGATGTTGCAGTTACATATGGTAATTAATGAGTCAATGAGGCTCTATCCTCCAGCAACTGTGCTTCCTAGAATGACCTTTGAAGACTTTATGTTAGGTGACCTTTATATTCCTAAAGGCTTATCAATTTGGATTCCAGTGCTGGCTATTCATCATAGTGAAGAACTATGGGGCAAAGATGCAAATGAGTTTAACCCTGAGAGGTTTGCTTCAAAGTCATTCATACCTGGCCGTTTTATACCATTTGCTTCTGGCCCTAGAAATTGTGTTGGACAATCATTTGCCATGATGGAAGCTAAGATTATATTGGCCATGTTGATCTCAAAGTTTAGCTTTACAATTTCAGAGAATTATAAGCATGCACCTGTGGTTGTCCTCACAATTAAGCCTAAATATGGGGTTCAAGTTTGTTTGAAGCCCTTGGATACATAAGACATGTTCCTTCATTTTGTAGACTTTAATAGAGTTCTATCATGACTCAAGTTGTAATGACTTTATGTTTTTTCCTTTATTTTTATTTTTTATTTTCAAATTTTACAATGAAGAAAGACATGAAGTAATGATTGCAAGGATTACGATATGCACACTAATTAAAAAACTCTTCCAAACTAGCAAAGATAATAGAGGGGGATTATATTTTTTGTTATAAAGTTCATGACATGATGTGGAAGAGGATGATGATAATTAAAATACAAACAAGTTTAAAGAAATTTGGTATCACCTTAACTATGACTTTTCTTTTTTCTTTTTTCTTTTGCACAATTACACGTGATGTTTAGATAAAATTTAAAGGGCCCATAAACAAAAATTAAAAACGACACAAATGCCATTTTATGGTTTAAGAAAGAGATATTCTTTTGCTTCGCTCCACAAAACTTGAGAATAATGATTTGATTTGATTATAATGTCATTTGATCTACTTTCAATGATGAAGAATGCCCCCATGTGTTTGACACAACTAATAATAGTAGGGTCAGTATCTACATTTTGGACCTTAAAGGGTTTTTTTTCTCCGCCACCTTATCATCTGCTTCCACTAGTCCATGATTCTGCTTATCCCACTACTTGGTTTTCTCACTCTTTTATTCCAACCAACATTTATTTCTGGCACTGTTTGACATCTACTTCATGTATTTTCTTAAATATAGTTGCACAATGTTATACAAGGTATCTTTACAACGAGGATCAAACAGAAAAGTTTAGATCGAACGAGGCTTAGGTGTTATTTCATAATTTGCATAGGAATATGTGAGACGTGTGTGAATAATGATGGTAAGGATTTTGGATGCAAGTAAATGAATGCATGAGATAAATATGTATTTAAATTAGTGGTGCGGGTCATGTTTGTGTCGAGTCGAGGTCAGATATGAATATATAGGCACTCGCCATGAACAAAATACAAATATAGGCCCAACTGCTTGCGATGGTGTTATGCATGATTGACAAGGTAGGTGGCTGGGGGGCTGTGCTTTCAAGGTGGGGATATATTCTTCATTTAGAGCGGAATTTGGGGTGTACGAAGGGGGTTGGAGATGACATGAAATGCTGGGTTTCGGGATGTGATTATTGAAAGTAACTCAGCTAGTGTGATTATTGTACTCACCAGACAAGGTGAAGCATTCCGTGAAAATTATCTGATTTCTCGCATACGAACATGGATTCGTAGAGACTGGTTTGTGACTTTTAATCATACTTTAAGCGAGGATAACACTTGTGCAGATTGGATGGCTAATTATATACTAAATAATGAGGAGTAGGAAGATCATCTGTATTGGGGGCAGAGGCGGGAGAGAATATGTAGTGATCCCGGCACATGTGTGCCGGGAAAAGAGAGAGTGAGAGAGAAAGAGAAAAGAGAAAAGAAAAAAAAAGATAACCACTGAATATTTTTTCCAGAGACGGACGCACGGGAGGGGTTAGGGTTGGCCACCGCCCCTCCCAGATTTTCAGATTTTTTTTTAATAAATATATATAATTTTCAGAATTGCACACTCCTTTATGTTAATGTTGGGCTGGAAAATTTTAATGGGCTTCGTGGGCTATTTTTTAACTATTAGTCCAATACTCCTTGATTTTACTCTATCTCTATTTAATATTTAAGAATAGCAACCTTCATTTTTTTTTTATATATTCTTTTTACAAAACCTACTCTCTCTTTTTTGAAAAATGAAACCTACTCTTGATCGCTGATTCTTTTATTTCTTCTCCTTTAATTAGCGGATACATCACACTGCAGTACACATTGTCTCCTTCTTGTAAGAATTTTTTTCTCTCTTTCTAAACATGAATTCCTTTAATTTGATTTTGGTAATGGCATTCTGGTCAACAAGCTAAAAAGTCGACCTATCAAAAATTGAACGAGCCTCAATTGACCATGAATTTTGTAATAAAACTCTTTCAAATTTTTTATATTAGATTCATGTATGATTGTATGTACTTTTGTTTATAATATAGAAAAATTTATTTTCTCCCCCCATTATACAAAATCCTGTGTCCGCCACAGATTGGGGGGATTCCCCTAGTATTCCACCTTTTGTTGCTTGAGGACATTGCTGGTGTGGGAAGGATTCACTCTATAGTTTGCAGTAGTTAGGTTTTCTTTTCCTCCTTTGTTTGGTTTTTGGCTTACGCCTTTTGTTTACCAAAAAAAAAAAACTTTCTACACTAACATGATCCGTTTATTTTCCGGATTGACAAGACATAAATAATCTGACAATCTTATTATTCAGATTGATAGGACACGAATAACTTATATACTGAATATTACTTTCACCAACGTCGTTGTAATGTCTCATGAAGACACGAATAATCTAAAAAAAGATTAACGCAGGTCAGAGTTATGCTTGCGGATTGATACACGACACGATATAAATTTTTTCGTGTCAAAATTTATCAACACGAACACGACACAAATTCAAAAATAGGTTAACTCAAACACAAATATTTCGTGTTATACCCATGAATTATTTTCAAAATTGTCACCCTAACTTAAACCTCTTCGCATGCATGTACAAATGGCAATGCTATACATGAAAACACCGTAATTGTGACACATTATTTTTTACGGTAAAAAAAAGTTGTAGAAAGAGGGTTTGAGCAAGAGCATTTTCGAAAGAAATAAAGTAATTATATATTATTCCAATAGAAAGAGAGTGAAGGATTCATTCTATGAACTTCAATTTGATTACTCTATACTAGGCATAGAAGTGGAGGAAGGTATCTTCCGATGGCACTTAAAACAAAAAATCACTAATTTAATTCAATTTGAGAAGCTGTGGTTTGTTCCATATTGTTCATACGGGGGAAATTAATTCTCAAGTTTTTGCTTAAGGAATAGATATAATTGAGTTAAACTTTGTGGTAAAATTCTCATACCTTAATATCTTTTATTTTTCTTTCGATGCATAAAAAGTTTTGGAATGGAAGAATTAGCTCATTCTAATTAAGTAAAGGTATACCATAAACTTCAAGAGAAAGACTATATTCGATCCAAGAGAAATTGTAGCTAATATTGGATTTGATAATTGACGGTATCTATAGAGGAGAAAATCGCACATCACTTATACACAATAAGACTAGAATCCAAAGGAGTGATATGTAGTGAGAGCTAGGATTTAAGAAGCGTGTATATGTAGAGTTAAACTCTCTCTAAATAGGTAGGGTTTACATGAGGTGATAGAATTTGGGTAGAACACAAATTTCTTAGTTGGATAAAGCCCATTATTTATTATTCACACTTGGAATCGGGATTGCCTTGAGCCATTATCTTTTAGAGCCTATAAAATCCACGTAATAACTTTCTTTATGAGGTTTAGGATCATAAATGGCACAAAAATAATTTTTTTTTATTATGATACAATATATTTTTTAGTCAACTTTCATATACCTGAGACTAGACTTCTTCCATGTCAATTGTGACAAAAAAAAATTTAGTGCTTGTTTGACATGTCTTATTTTTAGTTTTTTTTTTTTATAGCAGAAATTTGACCTAACATAATTTTCGAACAGCTCTTATTATAAAAAAAAACTTTTTTATGATTAAAAAAAATAAAAACTTTCAGAATGAGCTATTTTAAAGTGTATGACAGCTTTTTGGATTCCTTATATGTATTTCATAGTTTTACTCTTCTTTTAAATTTGTATTTATAAATTTTGTCCATTACCCTAATGATTTATTCTAATGACAAATCATTTCATCTTATCCCTTTAAACCTTAAGAATAGTTTTATTTTTAAGCTATTTTTTTTATTTTTAATTTGAAAATAACTTTTAACTTAAAAAATATATATATGTCAAGTGAAGGCCACATTCGCTGTATTAACCCAATGCAATTGGGGAAAGCACCGTATAAGCCAACCCTTTAGGTTATATTGCCTTCGAAATAATATAGGACATCTTTCTCAAAACTTTTGCCCTCCATATTTATATATATGATTCTTGTGAGCCATAAAGCATAAGTAAAGGTACTCCGAGGTAAATTATGTACTATACAAAGGATGAATAATTCAAATTGATACAAGTAGAATCACTTTAAAAAAAAAGGTTTGGCATTCATATAAACTCCAATAAAGAAGAGCTTTGCTTTGAATTTTGACTTTAGGATATGTATTTCACATTTGAACGTTAGACATTCACCCGTGATTAACCATCCTGATTGAGAACAACCTAGCCCAATTTGGCCCAAATAGCATGATCCAGCTACACAAAGTCCTTCCCAATTTTTTGGTTAGAGTATCCTAACAATCCATTCCAAAGTTTAACAGGGAACAAAATTTATAAGAATGACCTCTTAAGTTAATAGGCACATACCTAAAACACTTTCCATAGTTCAATCTCCTTAGCTTTTCGAAGTATTATCCAATGATTCATTAATTCCCAAGTTTAGAAGAAAACTATTGGAATTATCATCTTAAGTAAATACCCAACACACATCTTAGTTCATATTATTTTTATAATTAAAATAAAATTCCATATTTACCTATATTATCCCACAATTTTCGTTTTTAGTGACACGTGCGGTACATAAATGAAATCACTCTCTTTGTAATAAGTGCTTGTAATTTTAAAGTTTACTTTTTCCCTCTACATACCAACCATGATTATACAGTACCGCATTCACAAAGATTGACCCAAGAAAAAAAAGAACAAAAAATTAAAAAAAAAAAAAAAATTAATAACAATGGTTCAAAACTTCTAATCTCTACTAGAAGTATTGCGAGAAGCCGATTGAGTGAAAACCGAGTGAGCGGTTCAAACCGGAAACTCAAGACCCAATTCCATCTTGCATGAACCGCTCTCCCAATCCTTCAACTCAATCCTTCTCTTCTTCATGGGAATCACGTGATGCGCACGTGAATCCGGTTCGAACCCGAGCGTCAGCTCTAAACCAACATCACCACCACTCTCATCGGCTCGGTCACTCACCTTCACGTTTGACTCCGGTTCATCATGGAAGAGGATCGAAGTCTCCACGGATACCACACTCTCCGCCATCGCTGCCTCGGACTGACGGCTCAGCGTAGACTCATGACTAGCCGACCGGTTCTCCACATCCGGTTCAGAAGAACCGGCCTCGGTTCCTTTGAGGGTCTTAGGCTTGATGATGGCTCCACTTCCGGTTCTCTTGAACCGGGACCGAGTCTTGACTCGGTGACCTTCATGTAAAGCGGCCAAGTTCTCATCCTTGGACACGTGGCGTATGTCGTAGGCCTTAAGTGGTGGACCCCGCCCAAACGCCGCCGCATCGGAGGTTATCGGAGTTATTGGCGAACCCTTCAAGACGGCTTCAACGGCGGCTTGACAAAGCTGCCAGCTCCCCGACCACAACAAACCCACCGACCCATAAATCGGGTTCACGATCCTCCCACATGCCTCGTATAACAACGAACGAAAAATCGCTGCAACAAACCCAAAAAAAAAAAAAACCCAAAACACAATCAATAAAATTTTTCTACTTGTTTCCCATACAAAATAAAATAAAATAAAAGAATTAACAAAAATAATAGTAAAGTGGGGCTGAAAATCTTCCATTATTATTTTTTATCTCATCACCCAAATTATATATATATATAACTTCATTAGTCCAATTTAATTTATTTATTATGCAATTAATCCAATTCAATTCGACTCAAATAAGAAGAAGTAGCTGATAAAATTCTCCGGCAACTCGAACTCCACCTTAATTATCCTTTAGAATCAAGTTACTGAAACAATTGAGACAAATATCTAGGTTTGACCCAATCTCTTGATTTAAACATGCTCTTTTAACATTTAATTCATGTTAGACTCATATTATCACGTGAATCAACCCCTCCAATTATAATGCATTGTGTGAGTCTATTGTAACATAATTGTATGATTATAACATGTAACTTGTGATGAAAACAATAACAATTGTGTGAAGTTTCTAAGAACAAAGGAAGGTATAAAAATAATAATAATTATTATTATTATTACCTGGACGAAGGTGGTGAGGACCAGCGTTGATGAGATTCATGAGGCCAGCACGACCATAGAATTTAGCAAGGAACAGAGTTGCATTGGCTTGTGATTGTGAACTCTTGATCCACTCCAAACACGGTCTTATGCTACAATCTTCACTACAACCTTTTCGTAATACCCGACATCCATTACAACTCATTCGCATTTCGTCACAACTTTTTCTCTTTTTTTCTTTTCTTTTTTTTATTAAAAACCTCACAATTCAGAATTTGTGTGAAGAGGAAAAAGGAATGTGTGTGAGGGTCAGAGAGAGAGAAGATTGTGAAAGTGCGTGTAAGGGAAACCAGCTATATAGTGGTTGTGTTGTGGGTTACGGCGCTGCTGGGTTTTTCACATGTTCTGGGGGAAGCAGCTGTTTTTAACCTTTTTTTTTTTTTTTTCTAAAAAACGGAATTTGAATAAACAACAATGGTATTTTTTTTTGTTTTTTGTTTTTTCTCGATGTTTGAAAGTTCGAACCACTTTCTAAGTTTCAAACGTAGCTTAAACGAGTTCATTTTCCATTCTGTGGGGGGTGAGAAAACCCATTCTCATTTCAAGCGCGTGAATTCAACTCCCTATCATGGGAGCTCACGTCACTGGCGTGGAACATCACATAAATGCCACCTTTTTATGCACACAATTCACTTTTATCGAAATCTGATGAGTGGCGTGGCGCACTTGTAATTATAGTGCTTTTATATAATGATTAAATAATTTCTTAAACATCTTTAATTTAAAAAAATAATAATTAAATTTTGATAATTTAATCTTATTCCAATTCATTTTACTTAATATAGCTAATAAAAGATAAAAAAAATTATTATTTTTTATTCTTAAAGTGAAAAAAGATTAAAATTTATAAAATAATAATCATATGGAAACAAACAGAATATTTATTACTTCCACTCATTTTAAAATAAATACTATTTAGAGTTTTAGAACGAAAATTAAAATAAATTATTTAATACTCTAATTTTAAAAATATAATTATATCAATTTAGCTAAACTACGCTGTCATTTAGTTAATGTTTTTATTTTGATTAATAAACATATTAAAATATAAAAATGTAACTAATTATTTTTATTTAAAAAATAAAATATAAAAAATCAATTAATTATAGCACTCGTTTAGATTTAATTTAGTAACATTATATTCATAAATGACATGAATTACTATATGCTTTCGGTAAAGTGATGCAGTAAGAGTACAATTAGAAAATATGAGAATCATTATATTACAAATAAAATGAGCATAGAGAATGGATAGTCTCATGTGTTATTTAAACATGCATCTTTTGCTTACCAAAAAAAAAAAAAACATGCATCTTTTCGCATTAAAATGATAAATAACTTAGGAAAAATATACTCTTAAGTTATAGGAGAGAATTTTTCTCTTCTACACATACATCGATTTTCGTGTTACTTTTTTATTCCTTTTTTCTTTTTCTATAATAGGTGGGTCCCACACATGATTATCGCTATTACATGAGAGAGTTCTCTCCTATTGCATGAGATTAATAAAACTCAATAACTTATCAAATAAATTAAACTATTTACCATTTGATATAGATGGGTAAAAAAGCCAATCCCATGGTGGGAGGGGATTCTCTAATATGTTATGTGAATTTTTGTAATTATTTATGGATAAATTAATCAGAAAAATATTTCTGCAGATAAGTTATCTGCATTTATTCTCAAAACGACGTCGTCTTGGGATTGGAATATTAAAAATTATAATTATAAAGACTATAATAACCGTGAAATAAATTAAAATTAGAAAAATACCATGATTTCTGTCTCAAAACGATGTCATATTGGACTTACTGCAGATAATTTATCTGCAGTAACTGCAGAAAAAGCAACCCTAAATTAATTGTGATAATTTTATTATTTTCTCTCCCAATAATTTTTTTCTCTCATCTCTTGTTAACTTTTTTTTTTTTTTGGTACATTGCCAGGAGGTATCCCCATTCAACCTTCTGGACACCATGCCCTCGGGGTACGGCCCGTTTGGGCTAGCCCCTCATTGTAACAGTGGGTGCACTAAGCTTCGCAACCGGAGAAAGGACGAGACTAATCCCCCAACCGAAATTTTTTGGCTTATCCTCTGGCCCCCAAAGATTTTCCAAAAAACTGCTTGAGGCAGGGTTTGATCTCTGCACCAAGCAATCCCTTGGGAGCTCAGCTGCCAACTGAGCTACCCTTGGGGGTTTTGTTAACTTTAATTACTATTGCTTTTGAAGTCAATTTTTTCATGTGTTATTTAATATCACCGTTGATTTGGGAGTAAATTCATTTATGTGTTATTTAAAATGACTATATCATGTGAGAATATCTTATTTATTTATAGACAAATTAATGATAATAATTTTAATCATTTCTTATCTCAACAATTTTTTTTCTATCATCTCGCATTAACTTGTCTCATTAAAATTATTTAACTTGAATAAAAGACAGCGCACATGTAACATCCCAAGAGCTGGGCAAGGGCAGGGAGTGATCGCTGGTGCGAAAGGGCACGGACAATGAGCGGCTCATGCCAAATCTTGCAGCTTGGGGGTTCATGAATGAATCGAATCAACACCCAAAAGAGAGGGATTCCATAGACTGTGTTGGCATGGGACGGTACAGTTAGGAATGACTTATAAGAATTAATTGGTACTACCTATACTACTTTTTTCGGTAGCCCGGATCGGAAGAACTCTACAGTTAAGCGTGCTTGACTTGGAGTAATTATGGGATGAGTGATCTCCTGAGAAGTTTTCTCGGGAAGTGTACGAGTGAGGACAAAGCACACTGAAAAGTCTCGTGTTAGTGTGCAGGGAAGGGACAGTCATTGATTCTTGCAAGTGGCCGGGCGTTACAAGTGGTATCAGATCAGGGCCTCTCTTCCAGTAAGGTGTGGTTCGAGGGCGAACCAGGCGGAAGCTGATGGACATGTAACATCCCAAGAGCTGGCAACTTTTCGGTAGCCCGGATCGAAAGAACTCAACAGTTAAGCGTGCTTGACTTGGAGTAATTCTGGGATGGGTGACCTCCTGGGAAGTGTGCGAGTGAAGACAAAGCACACTGAAAAGTCTCATATTAGTGTGTGAGGACAGTCATTATTCTTGTAAGTGGCCAGACGTTACAGCACACCTACTGTGCGTTGAACCTGCAAGACGCGCATGAAAATAATGTATGTCTTGAAAAGCGTAAATAGTGTGTGCTAATTTTTTCACAAATAACACATGAGATTATATGCTATTTAAATGCATAATCCATAATACATATCTTTTCGTATTAAATTAATAAATTATTTACTAACAGAATTAAACCGGTGATTCGGTGAATGGGAATGGATCATATTTGTTTTTTTGTGTTCGAAATTACCCTCTGAAAGACGCGGACATTATGAAATCTGTAATAACAAAAAAAAAATGAAATGGACCGGCATTTGTGGTCGATGTCGCAATTGTTGTAGAACAATTTCCTCGTTGTCAAGGTTCAAATGCCGAACATAGAAAGCAAACAAAAAATGAAATGGAGAAGGGTAAAAATATATAAAAAAATGTGTATCATTTTAAAAGATATAAAGTTGTGTCATTTCAAGTGAGAAAAAAAATAAATAAAAGAAAAAAAAAATAAAAAATATAAAAGTGTGAATTCGAAAATAAAATATTATAAATTATGTGACTTAAAAAGAGAAATATTTTTGTCAAAATACATCAGATGTCGTGTCAGATGCATGCAAATGGATACAAAATTATTAAATTAGAGAGGTGAAGAGAGAGGCGCGTGGCACGCACGCTCAGATGTCAGAGTGCGAACGAGTCGCCACATACTGTGGAGTAAGATTCCACTGGCAGTGGTTTTTCAATGAGGAAAAAAAAAAAGAACAAACCAAAAAAAAGCTCCTGGTTTTCGGGAATGAAAACAGGTTTCGAAGAAAACCAAAGACCGGTTTCCGGTTTTGGTGTTGGGACTGTGGGCGCAGCTGAAGAAACTAGAAGTAGAGATATAAAACTTAAAAGCATATAATGCCAATGGTTTTTGTTTTTTAAAACTTGTTCTAATAAAGTGATAATCATAATCAAATACTTGTCTTAATAGTTTTATTATAACCCTTCCACTTGGAAGTGTTAAGTGGCTGAGTTTTGTTGAATGCATTAAAATAGCAGCTTAGGTTTTAATACACGTGTTTTCCAATTCATTGCTATTTTGTCTTCTTCTTGATTCTTCGACAGGATAATTAATATTTCTTATAGTGTTAAAAATAATTTTATCTTTTCCATATATATATATATAAAAGATATAAAATTATTTCTTATAATATAAGAAATATTAATTTCATAATAATAATGGTTAAATTCTGCGCTCGTCAACTAAGATAATTACTACTTTAGTCTTAGGATTGTGTAGTTTGTTTGGTTGGCCAAGATTTTAATCATTTAATTACCTGGATTCGATATTTATTCTTCAGCGTCACAATTTTGAATTGAAAAATCTGGGAGGGTGTTCCAATTTGTCGGTCTATGAATCTTAGCTATGTACATTCTGAATTCGGTTGAATATTTAAATAAAGGCTAAAGGATTTTTTAGAGAACGAATATAAGTTATTTTTGGTGAGTCTAAAATAATGTCGTTTTGAGATGAAAATTAAGATATTTTTGTAATTATAATATATTGTAGGATTATATTAGTTTTTATCATTATAATTTTTTAATTTTATAACTTAAAATGATGTCATTTTGAGCTCACTGGAGATAATTTTATTTCTAGTGACCGGAGAAATACTTTTTCATTAAATAAAAGTAGTTATAAAAAATACTTTGTATGAATTTATTTTTAGGCTTTAACGTTCTACAGTAAATGTATATAAGTTATTTATATTTATTCTCGAAACGATGTCATTTTAGGTTGAAAAATTAAAAAAATCATAATGAGAAAGACTATTATAACCCTGAAATAAATTATAATTATAAAATACCTTGATTTTCTTTTTAAAACGACATCGTTTTTGACTTAATATAAATAACTTATCTATATTAACTGTAGAAAAACTGAACCCTTATTTTTAATACATTTTTGGTATAAAAAATTAAATTAATTGGGGTTAATTGTGTTAAAAATTTAATAAAGAGAGTTTGTCATTTTTTATCATACCCAATTCGATTCTGGATT